CCCTGACAGCAGACCCACCTATGGGATCTGCATAGGGTTCTACTGCACTCTAGCTTCCCCTTCTGCCCAGTCCTGCTTTTGTGGCAGGTGTTCTTTCTGGAAAATAATCCAAGATACCTCTGCCCCCCAAATCCAATGTCAGAGAAGACTTCCCAAGCAACCGAAACTACAATTACAATGAATGCATTTGTAAGGCTATGTCACTTAGGCATCATCAGTCCTTATCATACAAGCTGAGCATCTCTAAATATGACCTAGACAATAAAGCACTTGAGCTGAGGCACTATGTGAACACAAGATAAAAAACTCTATGTAAAGGAATTCAGCCAGAGCTTAGGCCCAACTTTATGCAATCTGTGTGTGGCCCACCTCCAGACAGAACACTTAGATGAAAAAGAGAAACTCTAGCAGCCATATCAACAGACAGACATAAGTGAGGAAACTACAGTGAGAAACAAAATATCCTAACAAGAACAGAGTTTCAGTGAATAACTGAGCATTAGCAATATAAGCAGCTCCTTTTGAACTTCCAGGCAAAATGGAGGTGTAGGTAGATACATTTTGCCTCCTCGCACAACCAAAAGAAGGACAACAACATATTTAAAAACAAGAAATAACCAGAACTGCCAGAAAATCTAACTGTATGGAAGTCTGACAACCAAGGAGTCAAAGAAGAAACATTCATTTAAACAGGTGGAAGGGGTAGACACAGGTAGCCAGGGAGGACACGACACATGGCAAGGCCTGAGCTGGCAGACCCGTGGTCCCATATTTGCACGCACATAACTGGGAAAAGCAACTGGAAGCAAGAGAGACCACACAACCCAGGTTTCCAGCACAGGGAAATAAAGACTCAAAACCTCTGGTGGTAAAACCCTATGGGTGTTAAGACAGCAGGAGAAACTCCCAGCCTCATTGGAGAGTTTGTTGGAGAGCCCACCCACCCAGGAGTAGTACCGAAAGGGTCCAGTTTGCTTCTGAGTAGCAGGGAAAGTGATTGAAATCCTGCTGAGAGCCTAGCGAGTGGCACTGTTCCCTCTTGAACCCCTCCCACACAAACAGGGGTTGCCCTGCCTTGGCAAATACCTAAGGCTCTGCCACTTAAAACATAACAGCTGTGCGAGAACAAAAAAAGCATGGCCCTAATGAAAGAACAAATCAAATCACCAAAACTAGAACTAAACAATGAAGAGATAGACAACCTATCAGGTGCACAGTTCAAAACACAGGTAATCAGGATGTTCACAGAAATGGTTAGTATGGTCGCAAAATAGAGGAAAAAAGCCCTGGCTGGCGTAGCTCAGTGGATTGAGTATGGGCTGGGAACCAAAGTGTCCCAGGTTCAATTCCCAGCCAGGGTACATTCCTGGATTGCAGGCCATAACCCCCAGCAACCGCACATTGATGTTTCTCTCTCTCACTCTCTCTCTCTCTCCCTCCCTCCCTCCCTTTCCCTTCCCTCCCTAAAAAGAAATAAATAAATAAAATCTTAAAAAAAAAAAATAGAGGAAAAAGTAAAGGCTGTGCAAAGTGAAATAAAGAGGCATGTATAGGAAACCAACAGTGAAGGGAAGGAAACCAGGACACAAATCAACGATTTGGAGCAGAAGGAAGAAATAAACATTCAACCAGAACAGAATGAAGAAACAAGAATTCAAAATAATGAGAACCTTAGGAACCTCCTGGACAACTTTAAATGTTCCAATATCCAAATCATAGGGGTGCCAGAAGGAGAAGAACAACAGCAAGAAATTGAAAACTTAGTTGAACAAATAATGAAGGAGAACTTCCCCAATCTGGCAAAGGAAACAGACTTCCAAAAAGTCCAGGAAGCTCAGGGAGTCCCAAAGAAGCTGGACCCAAGGAAGGCATATCATAATTACATTACCCAACATTAAAGATAAAGAGAGAACCTGAAAAGCAGCAAGAGAAAAGGAGGCAGTTACCTACAAAGGAGTTCCCATAAGACTATCAGCTAATTTCTCAAACTTTCAAGCAAGAGGGGGCTGAAAAGAAGTATTCAAAATCATGAAAGGCAAGGCTACATTGAAGATTGTTCTATCCAGCAAAGCTATTATTTAGAATGGGAGAGCAGATGAAGTGCTTCTCAGATAAGGTCAAGTTAAAGGAGTTCATCATCACCAAGCCCTTATTATATGAAATGTTAAAGGAATTTAAGAAAAAGAAGATAAAAAATATGAACAGTAAAACGACAATAAACTCACAGCTATCAACAACTGAACATAAAAAGAAAAAAAACAAAAACTAATCAAACAACTAGAACAGGGACAGAATCATAAGAATGGAGATCACATGGAAGTTTGGGTGGGGGTAGAATGGGGGGAAGGTACAGAGAAAAAAGAAGCACAAATGGTAGGCACAAAATAGACAGGGGGAGATTAAGAAAAGTATGGGAAATGGAGAAGCCAAAGAACTTATATGTACAACCCATGGACATGAACTGGGGGGTGGGGAATGCTGGTGGAGGGGGGGATGCAAGGTGAAAAGGAATAAAGGGGAGGAAAAAATGGGACAACTGTAATATCACAATCAATAAAATATGTTTAAAAAATATTCCAATGGTTGGAGATTATACTGATTAGCCTTCTCATTCTATAGGTGAGGAAGCTGGAGTCCCCAGAAGCATAGTTATTTGCCCAAAGTCAAACGTTAGCAGCAAAATAAGGACTAGAGCCCTGAATGGTGGTCCCTCATGTCTAAGTTCTGACACAAACAGTCCCTGCCTCCCAATATTTACATGAATTTGTATTGTTTTTACCAACTTTCAAAGCTCACTTCAAATATACTATGATGATTACTAAAATGAATTTTAATGATGATAGAGTTTACCTCAAAAGTATTTATGCTGATCTAATATAATCTTTCATAAATCTACTGGGAAATTTCCTTAGAGTCATTTGTATCACTAGTTTCCTAAAGTAGTTACCTTAGAAAATGGAATGTCGATTAGCTGTCATACTTACTGCTGTGTTTTACTCCTTTATCATTATAAATGATGGTGACGGTTAAAGATAATAGTGTTATATAAATTTACCCTTAATGCATATAATGGAGACTATATGATTAGTAACCAATAGAGTAATTAAATACTGAAAAATATACATGCTGGGAAAAGGAATATTTTGGAAACTGGCATCATTATTCTCACAAACGGTGGTGTTCCTTCCCAAAGACACAAGATTTAAAAAAAAAAAAAAAGGCCTAATTCCTGACCAGAATATGTTCTCCTAAGCAATTGTTAAGAGACAACATAATCCTGTTTCCAGTACAAGAGGAAAAAATCATCTCTCTTCATAGGAAAGCAGAGACCTCATCTAAACTCCTCTATTCCTAAAAACTCAAATTAATCAATATTGAACAAACTCTAGAAAAGTTGTTGCTAATTTTTCAGACATCTTAAGGGAAATATAGTATATAGTTGACTATATACTAAGATTTCACCAACATGTTGAATTTATCCATGTCCTTTAATTTTATCCACACTGAAAGTAGGTGTCAAAAGAGCATGGAGATAACTATGCAGCTGACAAACTGCCCAGGAGCCTATATGCTACTTTATAATACTTCTCATAGTCTCTGATAGCTAAGTCCCAAAAGTACTAATTCCAACAGATGTTTAGAGTGGTGAAGAAATACGACAAACAGAAGTCGATGGGGCCTCGAGGATGTACTCACAACTGCCCCTCAGTAAATACCTGTATAATGAAAACTCCCAGCATACTTTTCGTCACAAAGCCTCTCTAGGTCATAGACCATGCATTTAAAATCTTTAAATTTGATTTATTCCATTAAGAAAGCAGAATGCTAAGAATTTATCAAATTAAATGTGCTTACCTTTAAAATAAGTTAAACATCTTCCCAATAAGTTTTTTTTAGATGAAAACTCCACAGCAAACTGAAAAGTGCCTGGATTACTCTTATATGTCCTAAGAACTCTGCACTTGCACCTAAAATTTTCCTTCCAATTAGATGTCGTTTTCAATCATTAGGAAGTTTTGCTATAATTGAATTCTTTTGGATAAAGTTTACAATTTCTCACTTCACCAAATGATAAAATCTCAATGGCAAGATGAGCCTAGAACTTACATACTATATCTCAGCTCCTCATTAGCAGCACTTGAAAAAGAGGCATTCTCTTTAAACTGGAGCCAAGAAAGCTGCTGGGCTGACACAAGCAGCTGAGGGGCAATCTAAACATTCATCAGAGACATCATATTTCCTGGGTTGTCCAGTTGATATGCTTCTGCCTGTATGTTATCCTCCATATATATGTATTATAGAAAACAGACCAGTGTTATAGGAAGTAAACTCGCCTAAGACTAAAACCCATGAAAACAAGTTTAAAACATAAACCTGGCTAAACACAAAGGACACCAAGGTGACTGACAGACTAATAATTACAAACGTGTAGTGAATGTACTATATGATGCATTTTAGAAAGCAGTAAGTCTTAAAACCATCACTCAGAAAGATGAGGACAGGGACTCACAAATAGATGAAACTGCAAGTTAAAATCACATAGCAGCATTAATTTGCCATTTGACCCATGCCTATCATCCTCTCCCTCTAGCCAACACATACTATAAGGAACCTGTCATTTATTTAGAGGAGGCTGGACCAGAAAATCATTAAGATAATTTGATACTTTATATCTAGAAAGTCAACTTTCTCACATGCCTTCTAAGAAATGCTCAGATAAGTAAAGATGCCTAACTAATTCTTCAAGACTAAAATATCAATCAATCCATCACCCACATACGGGTCTATAGGCAACTTAGATAGACAAGTTACCACTAGCTTTATGATTTTGAACAGAACCCTACACATAGTGGAAGACAATTCATTATTAGTCAAAAATTTTCTTATAGCTCTTACAAATCTGATTCGACCAAAGGAAAAATGTCCTCTTCAATAGGGTTATACTGCCTTGCCTAAACTTCAACACTCCAAAGCAAATGAATATTAAACATGTAACTTGCCAAGACTTGGGCTCTCCAAAGTGGAGATAATTAATGCTGTAGAGGTCCATATCCTCGGTGTGCCATGCGAAAGTGGTTTTCCACATGCCAAAATAGAGATAGGGGGTATTTACACCCTCAATAGAAATACCGCACTCTTCCTCAACCACATCCAAGACTGTATTTAGGCGAGCTATGTTCCATTCATCCACACCCTGGAACCAGGAAAGAGAGAAAAAAAATCAAATATTAACACACTAATAAAGATAACATTTAATATTCAAACCAAAAGCTGCCAAAATTACTACACTGTGTATTTTAATTCACTTAGAAATAAAAAATAAAGCAATTATTATTCAAGAAACACGCAAAGAGGTCTGTCCTGAAAAATTCCAGCCACTGTTAATATAATGAAAATGGTTTGTGAGACATCAATGTAATCTGGCAGCCAACCGTGGACTGGAATGAGCATGAGTGAACAATGACAACTTCACTGTATTAGTCGATGGGGGCAGTAGACACAGTTAAATGAGCATGTGTACTGTGTGGTTCTCACATTCCAAATGACTGAGCAAGTAGACCAACAAATCTGCATCAAATTTTGCATGAAGCTTGACCATTCCTCAGGGGGAACTATTTGGATGATTCATAAGGCCACAGCTATGTGCAACTGATGGCTGGCAGCTTCACCACGACAATGCACCTGCTCATACATCATGTTTCATACAGGGCTTTTTGGCCAAACAGCAAATCACCCAGGTGACTCAGCTCCTCTACAGCCCAGATTTGGTGCCCTGCAACTTCTGGCTTTTCCCAAAACTAAAACCACCTTTAAAAGGGAAGGCATTTAAGACTGTTGATGAGATTCAGGAAAATATGGGGCAGCTGATGGTGACTGGGAGAACTGTGTGAGATCCCAAGGTGCCTACTTGGAAGGGGACTGAGGTGTCATTTTCCTATGTACAATGTTTCTTATATCTTGAATCTTCTTCAATAAATGTATTTATTTTTTATATTACATGGCTGGATACCTTCTGGACAGGCCTCACATATGTATGTATATCCAAAGTTATTATGAACATAATAAGGTTCTATATAAATATTGGTATAAAATTATACCAAATGACTTCCTGATTGCCAACATAAATGCAAATTAAGTCCCTACTTGCTGTTAGCAAAAGAATAACTTCTCGAAAGTATATGATCTGGATTTGCTTTCCATCTTTGGCATACCTTTCAGTTTTGAGGGGTTTTTGTTTTTCAGTTTATTTATACATTAGTTTAGAAGTCATATTCAAAATCAGATATCATTTCAAAATGGCACTAGCAAAATATATCTTCTTTTACCCCTCTCTCATCGTCACCCATTTCAGTTTCAGCATGTGATACGTCATTGTGCTTTTACTATTTCTTCAACTAAAGGTTAAACTCTATGTTGATGAGAAATTTTAAATATATAATAACTGTTAAAAATCCTTATCCAAACTTTGGTAGAATTGTTGGAATAATGTAGTTCTCTAAAAATAACCCAATATGCCTGGTGATGATAGAAAAGGTTAGAGTTGCTGGTATAAGAGTTAAGGTGATAAGAAAAGATTCTCTTTTAATTAAAACTTAATAATCAATTATTAATTTACTATAATTCACAACTGTTTAAAATGTATACAAGCAATGTATTTTCCCATATGCCTTTCTCATAATCAAATATAACTATTAGAGACTGTGACATTCCCATACAAAGATAAGGAAACTGCAGTGCCTTTAAAATCATTCCAACCTGCTCAAAGTGCTGTTAAAGAGGGGTGTTAAATTAATGTATGTGCACCAATAAGGCCCTCTACAATTACTATGCCAATGGCCTCACAGACAACCACATCTAATGTTTCCCTTACACACTAAAAACTTACAAGGTTGCTGTTTTCATTTTGGTCTAGAGGTAATTCTCTAATTAGTGTAGTGATCTTACTTCCTCAAGCTTTTTGGTTACAAAATTGTTGATAAAGCCGTTCATGAAGCTCTGCCTCAGTTAACATACTTGAAAGTGCCATTGGAAATCATTTAATCCCCAAATTCTCCCAAATTGCCATTCTATCTTAAACCCCACAGTGGGAAATTTGTTATTTGGAAATTGGTCAAAGTAAGTATCCTTTAGAAAAAGTCCCAGGTTCCAACCTATGAAACTTTATAAAAGTTCAGATTGTGTAAAATATTTTATCTCACTCTATTTATAGTGATGCAATCTCTTACCCATGGTCCAATCAGACCTCGATTCAATCATTCTAATAGTAAAGTCCTATTTAAAAGCCGTTACTGAGGCAATGAATCTGAAGTAATAAATGAGAGCCATATTATAGTAACCATTTTTTTTTAGATTTTATATATTTTTAGAGAGGGAAGGGAGGGGGGGAGAGAGGGGGAGAGAGAGAGAGAGAGAGAGAGAGAGAGAGAGAGATATCAATGTGCAGTTGCTGGGGGTTATGGCCTGCAACCCAGGAATGTACCCTGGCTGGGAATCGAACCTGGGACACTTTGGTTCCCAGCCCGCGCTCAATCCACTTAGCTACACCAGCCAGGGCTTTATAGTAACCATTTTTAAATTGAATGAAAACTTACAAATGTAGGAACAAAGTATTCCTCTGAAACTCTTACATTTAGAGAAGTCTTAACTATATTACTGACTGACATTATTTTTCAAAAAACAAAACCCTGAAGCTGATTCCTTTGACATCCTTAGATCTGTGGGTCTAAGGGGATGAGGATAGAGAAGTAAAGGTACTGGCAGAAGACCCAGATTACAACCCCAGCTCTGCTACTGACCAGGGTGAAAATCACTGCAATTTTCTGAGCTTCCAGTCATTCTTCATAAAAAACATGAGGGCTAGTACCCTCCCAAAGATTCCTGGAAGCCTGAGCATGCTCAAGAACACAAAATATTTAGAAAATAAAACATTCTTCCTTAGAACGGAAGGAATATCTCCACTATTCTCTAGTAAATCTCACTGGAGAGCCTCCCCCAATATAACAATCAAACATGCTTTGAGTTAATAAAGGCCTATGACATTTACTACTGAAGTTCTCCCCACTAATAGGCAAATACCATGTTTTTGCAAGACCAAGTTATGGGTAAGACCAAGATTGACATGATGCTGAAACTTTAATTTATTTTGATAAAATAAGGAATCAGGACATTTACTCAAAACTCCGGTCAAGATAGAGGCATAGGTAAACACAGCTTGCCTCCTTGCACGACCACTGCCTATTCACACAATCATCACAAAAATTACAACTAAACTACATAACAACTATCACCCAGAACACTCAGAAAATCAAGCTGTATAGAAGTCCAACAACCAAGAAATCAAAGAAGTTACATTCACTCAGATGGGTAGGAGGGGTGGAGACATGGAAACATGGAGACACAGAACACGCAGTCCCACCCCGAGGTGTGGTGGATAAAAATCAGAAGGGATACCTCAGGAGCAAGGTATCCCAGCCCCATACCATGCCCCCTAACCCAAGATTCCAGTGCCAGGAAGATAAATCACAATAACTTCCGACTGTAAAAACCGGTGGGAATTGGGGTGGCGGAAGAAACTGCAGGATTCTCAGGCATCTCCTCTTAAAGGTACTGCAACAGACTTAGGACTTACACAGTCACACAACTTCTTGGCTCCAGTATGGGGACAGCAGTCTGAAGGGTACCAGTGTCAAACAGGGAAAAACTGAAGTGTCTAACATCAGGGCAAGTGCCAGGGGACAGCTTTCTCACAGACAAAACTCCAGAGGCCAGGCAGCAGTCATTGTCCCTTTTCTGAGCCCTCCCCTACACAGAGCCTCTGAAACTCCATCACACTGGTTCATGAGTGTTGCCCCACCTAGGCAATTACCTAAGGCTCTGCTCCATCCAACTTACAGGTGGGCTTTTCTACAATAAGCCATGCTGCTAAGACAGGGAGTCAAAGCAGCTCTACCTAATACACAGAAACAAACACAAGGAGACTGCCAAATTGAGGAGAAAAAGAAATAGGGCCCAAATGAAAGAGCAGATCAAAACTCCAGAAAAAGAACTAAACCAAATGGGGATAAGCAATCTGTCAGATGCAGAGATCAAAACACTGGTTATTATTAGGATGCTCAAGGAACTCATTGGATACTTCAACAACATAAAAAGGACCCAGGCAGAAATAAAGTTTACACTAAGTGAAACAAAGAAAAATTTACAGGATGGGATAGTGGATCTGATAGTGGAGTGGATGAAGCCAAGAATCAAATCAGTGATTTGGAACACAAGGAAGAAAAAAATCATTCCATCAGAATAGCAAAAAGAAAGAAGAATCAAGGGAAAAAAAGGATAGGGTAAGGAGCCTCTGGGGCAACTCCAAACATACCAGAATTTGAATCACAGGGATGCCAGAAGGAGAAGATGAACAGCAATGCATTGAAAAAATAAGAAAGAAAATTTCCCTGACTTGGTGAAGGAAATAAACATACAAGTTCAGGAAGCTCAGAGAGTCCCAAACAAGATGGATGCAAAGAGGCCCACTCCAAGACACATCATAATTAAATGTCAAATGTTAAAGATAAAGAAAGAATCTTAAAAGCAGCAAGAGAAAAGTAGATAGTTACCTATAAAGGAGTTCCCATAAGACTGTCAGTTTATTTCTCAAAAGAAACTTTGCAGGCTAAAGGGATTGACAAGTAGTATTCAGTGATGAAAAAGCAAGGACCTACAACCTAGATTACTCTATCCAGCAAAGCTATCATTTAGAATGGAAGTGCAGATAATGTCCTTCACAGACAAGGTGAAGCTAAAGAAATCATCATCACCAAGGCCTTATTATGTGAAATGTTAAAGGGACTTCTTTTTTAAAAAAGATCAAAACGATGAACATTAAAATGGCAATAAATTCACAACTATCAACAATTGAACTAAAAAACAAACTGAGCAAACAAACAGAACAGAAACAGAATCATAGACATGGAGATCTTCTGGATGGTTACCAGTTGGGAGGGGGAAGAAGGAGAATGGGGTTAAAGATGCAGGGACTAAGAAGTACAAATTGGTAGGTACAGAATAGGCAGGAGTATGTTAAGAATAGTATTGAGGTTCGGGCAGGGCAGGGGAGAGCAATGGGGGAAAATGGGTACAACTGTAATTGAACATCAATTATAAAAAAAAAAAAGAACAGTATAGGAAATGGAGTAGCCAAAGAAG